TAGGCGAAGTTTACCGGGATGACCCAGCGAGCGTTGATGTTCTCGACTACCATCACCGATGTTGCGAAATCAATTGATGGGTAAGAAGCAAAGCAAAGGCGGACCGGAGCGACAAGCGCGGCAAATGTTCCTCCTCCTAAAATAGATGCAAGCAAGCAAGCGAAGAATAGGCAATAAAAGAATTAACAACGGTAGCCCCCAAGAGTCAAAAGAAGCGAACTCGATCAGAAAGAGCGACGAGGTTAAACAAGAGAGACGTGCCACAGACGACGCAACGGGAACAGCAGCAAAAGAACGGGGGGGAAAGAGGCGTTCTTTAGGGTCTATGTATCAGACCGAGAGCGTCATGTACCCTTTGGACAAGGGTGCCAACAGAGTGGGGAGGGTCAGTCGGATGGGGGGGTGTCGCGGCGGGAAGGAGGAGGCTATTATTGATGGCGCATTTGCGAATCAAGCAGTATGACCGGCATTACCTTTGACCACTACACAACGGGGGCTGGGGGGCTGCAGTCAAATAAAGGCCTGATCGCTGCTGCACAAGCGTTGCATTTGCATGAGAGGCCAACAAGCCGGTCGACGGCGCGAACGAACGACGTGCATGTTGTTGGATATGGGGCCGTGGGGTTTTGGGTACAGTACAGCTGCATGTTTTGGCCAAAGCGGTACACTGTTGCAATCGATACACGTCCGTTGGATGCACGCACGCGCAGGCCCGCTCGGCCATGGCCTTGTTCAGCCTGTTCAGCCCGTCTGAAACATGCTGCTAATACGTCTTGGACCTCAGCCACCCTGTCGAGCTCCCAAACCTACCACTTGTCGAGGGAAACGCCATTGGGGATCCTAGTAAAGCCGTCGCAGAGCTAATCCTCCTGTATCTAGAAATAGCGGCTTTGCTGCACTGGCCGAGGCGTTCCACGAACCCTCGTCTTGTCGCGTCGAGGTCTGAGCGCGCGAGAGAATGCATGGGGACGCCAGGACGCATGTCATGGACCCTCGGCCGTACAGACTAACACAAATCCTTGCACCAGCCTGCATTAACGTGTTTGAGACTGTCTGCGGACTAACTCCGACCATGGGCTGATTGGGGCGCGTCGCTCTAGCCCACACTACACCGTCTATCTCGCATGTTTGGTACTCTACTGCCTCTACTGCACGCGTTACTGTTGGCGATGTGTGTTGATGTAAACGTGAATAATAGGGGAGGCTGGTCGGCAGTAAGCGAGGCGTTCTGGAAGAACGTTGAGAGGAGCGACGTGGCCAGCACTCGGCGCCGTTTTTGATCAACCTTTCTGCCCGCGCGCTGAATACTTCGATAGTCGGACAGTGATTGCGCCATGTATTGATGGTCACGACTCGCCACCACACACACTTTATCCTACACGACACCGTTCACGTCAAGGGTTTGAGGAAGAATGAGCGCATTACTCGTAATCTACTCCGTCGTGCGCCTCCCGATTCCTCTCTTTTCTCTTTTGTGCATGTAGACGCATGCAAGCCTCGCCTCGCCGTCTTACCACCGTAGTCTCCTGCCGCATGCCTCTCTTACCAAAGACATTCGGCGTTGGTGTTTTGGCGCAAGCTTGCCTGTCTCGACTCGCGCTTTGACGCGGAACTACTGCAGCTAAAGTCACGCTGCATACCACAGCTGCAGCATCGCGCTTCGCTTGCGAACCAAACCATAGCGCTGAGACCATCTCCTCCCCACACTCACTCCAACCCAGTAGCGAACCACAACTCCGACACTGTTTGTTTGGGAGTCCGTGGCGACAACGCATTGTCACAGCCTCGCTTACTCATACCCCTCATCCGCCCTTTTCTTGGTCCACGTAAACGTCTGCCAAGTTTGGATATCTGAGATCGGCGTGGTCTTCTAGGTGTTGCATCCAGGCCTTGAGGAACTTGGATCCGCTATGGATTTATCAAGTCAGTAACAATGCAAGCCACTTTTCCATGACAAGCGTATAGGAATCCTCCGCCGTATATCAGGATGCCGAGGGTGTGGTCTGAGTGTGGGTGACGACGAGTTGCCGTGTGATATAGCAGGGGAGCGTGTCACGGCAGTTTCGAGTTACGCGGGTTTCAGATTTGCTTATTCGCAAAGAACATGTCCCGACGCCCACGTTCTCGGGTATGACCGAAATATGCGATGACGAGGAGGGGGATCAATTGTGCGACCAACACGGAAGGCGAGCATTGTGGGGGGCATGGATTGGGAATGGAATGTAGACGTACTTGCTTATTGTGTCCGAGTCTCCTATCACACAAAGATGTCGCTTTGGGCGTGTCATTGCAACTGCGTCCTTCATTAGCCCATCGCACACACTTGCAGCCGCAAGTTCATGCGTCGATATTGCGGCGAGTCGGTAGGATTGACATTGACGTACCGTTGAGCCGTCTCTTCTCGCCCAAGAAGCCCACCTCATGCTCCGGGTTGCTCCGTACCGTACTGACGATGACAGCTTCTTTCTCGCGGCCTTGGAACCCATCGACGGATCCTAGTTCGATGCCAGGATATGCTTCTTTGAGCATTCCAGCGAGCAATGCGAGCTACCAACGTCAACGGTCAAACCCCACAATCTACATGGATGTCCGGGTTGATGCGCTATGCGCACGAAAGTTGAACAAGGGTGAGAGAGACGCGTACCTGCGCATTGTATGGCGTAACCACCGCAATGTCTTCCGCTTTCACACCAGCATTGATCAGATTACCGACGTGCATCTTCACCAATGCCGCCTCTGCTTCGTTAGATTTACTATCGCCGAGACTCATGCCTTTTCCGCCCTTGCCTATCACACCCTCATCTTCGAGCTTCTCAGGGAAGTCGCCGCCTTGTGTATCCCAGAAGACTAGCGGTTCTTGCGTATCTTCAGTGTCTTCGACATCGTACTTCAAATCTTTCAGCAAACGATCCTTGACGAAATCGGCTGCAATAAGTTGCGAGTCGTATAGCTCATCGGACGGAAATCGCATGATCTTCTCATGCATGCGGTATTGCGTCGTTAGCATACGCTTGATCGACGGGCCATGTAAAGCTAATAGCCGGTCGAAAAGCGTTGTCTCTAGCGTCATGTCATCGATCGGCTTGCCATCGGCCTTTTCTGCGTTGTCTTCTCCAGCTCGGGTATCCTTACCGGTACTCTTCTTGGCGTCTTTCTTGGCCACTTTTGTTTGCTTTGAGTTGAGAGATTTGATAGTAGGTGGTAATTGTAGATGGTCACCGGCCAACACTAACTTACTTGCCTTGACCCACAGCAGAGGCACCCAGCATTGCGCTTCCAAAGCCTGACTGGCTTCGTCTACGATGACGACGTCGAACTCTTGGCCCTTGAGATGAAAGCCTCCTGCGCCATGCAGCGTCGCGAGGACGACTTTACTGCCAGTCACGAGGTTATTCACGCATCCCTTTTCTCGCTCTCTGTACTCTTGTCGAAGCTCCTTCAGCTCGGTATAGATCTGACGGCGTTCCTTGGCGTTACGTGTCTTGCGAATAGACGATTGCTTTTCGTCCATTTCCTTGCGGACATCTTGGACCAAGGCAGCCGCTTCTGACGTTCGTGTAAGGACATCAAGAGAGTGGTTCAGAACGGATGGTAATAGGCGTGCCGGATGTCCCAGGCGCACCATAGGTACCTTATGGGAGGCTAGTCGCTCGACGATATTGTCTACAGATATATTGGATGGACCACATACTAGCAGACGGAGCTTTTGCTTGAGCAACTGTAAGATCAGCTCGATAAGAGTGTGTGTCTTGCCTGTCCCAGGAGGACCATGGATCAGCGCGACTTCTCGCGAAGCCAGTGCAAATTTAATTGCCTCTTTCTGGCTGTCATTGAGCCCTGGATCGTTCCATTCGAGCTTGTGAAGAGGGTTCGCCGGATCATTCAGATCTGAAGGTAAAGGTGTAGGCGATGCTTGGCCAAAGAGTACGCGCATGAAGGGGGTGTACTCTTGATCTCCAAGCTTTTGTAGTCTGCTCATCGTTTGGTTCATCCTATCATGCATAAGTTCAAGTAGCTACAGAAAGAATGTATTTAGAAAAGACGTACCTTTTGTAGGTGACGTCGTTGGCCAACTTGACTCTAGTACATATATCAGCCTTGTCGTGTATAACACAACCGTCCACGACGCGTAGACTAACATCCATAGCTTGCCGCCAGTAGGCACATCTGCATCCTCTTTGTCCAGCACGATCTCCACATTCTCCCTTCGCACCCGTAACACGACCCCCTCGGCACCCTTCTTCTCTAGCTCTTTCTTTTCCGTCTTCTTTGCGCTCCCGCTAGGCTGGTCCTGGACCGCGACTATATCACCCACACGTATGCCGTGCTCCGGGATATCGGGCTTCTCGCCTTTAGCCACAACTGCCGAATCCAACCCTAGCTCGACCACGGTCTTGCCGCCCAGCCCTGTCCGTATAGAAGACACATTAAGGTTCAGGATGGCGAGGCCGGCGCGTGAGAGGGCGGTAGGCGTGTGCGAGGCGAGAAGTGCGTTTGTTTCGGACAGCTCGGCTTGAAGCTCGGCATCGAGAAGCGTGAGCTGCGATGCAGCGAACGAGGGAATGTCTGTGGATTTCGGCATGGTTACTGCAAGCCGCGTGTGTAGACGTGGGGTTGTTCGTAGTTAGAGGTCATTAATAGCTAGTCTAAGAGTCCTCGGCAGGATAGTGGGGCTTTGCGCTGATTCAGGCAGAATTCGGCATCATAAGCCTTCTACCATGCGCGACAGAAGAGGGCTGGTCAAGGGCACCGTCACGGTTGTTGTGTAGCTGAAGCGCACAAACGAACATTAGCACGACCAGCCGATTTGGGGGACCGTTTCGGCCCAGGTGCCATTACGTCATGACGCTAGCCCGTTTCAATCCATCGTCAAAAACTCCTCCCAGATGCACACACATTTATTCGATATAACATTATTTTTGAAGCACGTAGTACTTCTGGTAGCAAGCGGCTGATGAGGCCGCGGACCGCACCAACAAGCGTAGTACCGACGCGATATATTACATATTGTTCATATTTCCGAAGCAATAGCCCGTAAAATTGTACCTAAACAAGTGAGCGTACCAAGTCAGTGTATGTTCCAAACAGTTCGCACAAGGATATGACTTACAACCAGAATTCCTTCTGCGCAAAAGGCCCCGTTTCTTGCAAGCCCTTGACCGGTAGGCTAGTCTTATTCTGCGGCAACCAGCTCTCTCCAGGGTCCCACTCCGTTGCAAGTCCTGCCCACCGACTGCCTTGTGGCAATGCCAACCATCGCGTTGCTTTTACGCATGACAAGCTGGTTCCCATGTTCGCACTCGTATATATACCCGTGGGATCTTTGTTCGTTTCGAGGCTTGCAATGATGATGAGAGCCATCACAAAGCCCGTGAGAAGAAGACTGTAGAGCCTGTACCACATGCTGGAGACGCAGGGTATGATCGTGGTTGTAGTCTGACCACGAAAGAAGTAGAAGGTGTACAAGATTAGTGATATGGTAATGAAGACGAAGTAGAACGCCCCGAGAAGGAACGTTGTCATCGTGTAGCCATACGTGTCTGCTGGAGCTAGGGCCGGGGTGCTGATGAAAAGAGCTATTATCCAGACGCCGCCGAACACAAGCAGGAAGGCGATGCGAAAAAAACGGCTTCTCCATGAGTTTTCAGGAGATCTAAACGGGAGTGTACAAAGTCAGTATTTGTTTTCAATGCAGTTCCGACAGAAACATTACTGACCGGAACCTGGATGTCTCTGATGGCATCGTTATCAGCGGGTCCAACGCTCTCGGGGGATGATCGAGTTCGATGTCATCGTATTTGGCCATAGTACTCTGACGAACAGGCCCTGCTGACTCCGTGGATGAAGTATCTCGCAATCCGCTTCCCTGGTAAACAAAGTCGTCCGTAAGCCAAGCGGCAGCACACAATCGCAAACAACCCAATATGGACAGAGGAAAGAAGAGAGTGTCTACGCCGAACCCAATAGCAACACCAGGAAGTGCAACCCCAGCAGCGCTACCAACGAGTATGTAAAATGCTGACGCACCCTGAAGTGTTGTGATGACAGTCTTCAACATCGTCAACGAGAGTATTTCAACACGGGTACTCTCTGGATAACGCAAGCAGTACATAGTAGAGCTCGTGACCATCTCTTCCCCACCATTCCATCCATCCGAGGTCCAGAATATCGCATTGGTAGCTGCTAGGTCACGGCGACTCCACTGAATCGCACGAATGCGCCGATCGGTGATCGCAGCGTATCTCCAGATGATGGATGTTGGATTATAGCTACACAACCGATCGTACCACTTAGGGCGTCGATCAGTAAGATACGATGTCGTAGGCGTCCCGGATATGAGATGCTGAAGCGGGACAACCGTTAGTATTTCGTTGCTGGAAAAGCACGACTCGAGAACAACTTACGGCGATCAAAGGAGCTAGACACAAAGTGAACAACGAGATCCATTCAGAAAACCCGATACATTGGCATTGAATGCGAAGAGGCTCGATCACGATTGGCATCGTGATTGTGGCGGTGAAAAAACGCGTTGAAGGGAAGGTAAAGAGGGTATTTGCTTGTTCTTTTTAGGGCCCCAACAACAGGGGGGTTGATTACGCGCTTGCAAGCACAGGACGCGATCATTGCTCATGATTGGATCTATGCAAGAGCCGACTTGTGCCTGCTATCGCAAGGACTTCAAACTTTTTCAGCTTGTAAATGTAGAGTAGCCCTGACATGTTCCATAAGGCTTCGAGAAGTGCTGTGAACCCGACGTAGGAACGCTATTTAACACCGCGTAGAAAAAGCGGCCCGCGCTCGTAGCGAAAGCTTGCATGGCGCCTCCGCGGATTCCAGAACAGAACAGGACACCGTACGATCCCAAAGTGCATTTATCCTTAAGGCCCGCTCTTTACCCAGATCTTGACACAATGCATAATCTTGCACAATCATCTTAGGAATGAAAATTTTCTATGCTCATTGGTGGCGGGATGGCAGCATGCGACGATCGCATCCATGTACTGTCGTGCGGCTGAACTGTCATGCCGAAAATAGCGAGTGGAGAGCGGAGACGAGGCTGACATGGTGGAATCAACTCCAAAGGCAGCCTGATTTCATCTGTGTGCCATTCTAGAATGATTTAGCACGAAGGCCTCTCGGATAACCGAATCGCGGTTGTAGGCATGTTGTGATAAGATCCAAAAAGTCCTGATCGCAAGTAAAGTTTGAGGGCTCTTCCAATTGAATGTATGGCTTAGTAACACTGCACTAGCTTCTAATCCCAACACGATCTCTACGCATCAAAGCTTTGAACATCCATCTCACCACCAGTGTGCGCACTCTCGATTTCGGAAAATTAAGAGCACTCTTTTCAATCTTTCTTTGCTCCTTCACTGAGCTTTCGGAGTGCATGTCGACCACGACAAGTCATTTGTTCTGATCCTCTCACCCGATCTCGGGGAGCGCACCTCTCTACCGATGCCACGGCAACTCCCGTTGACCACGATTTGTGAGACTGTTCAATACGGAGAATACGCTCCACTAGTGCCAAGAGCTATTGTTGGCTTCAAAGCGATCGGCCACCAGGCTGTGCCTAGGTATACCGAGATTGATGTAGCTCGCTGAGTCCTCCAGACCACCATTAACATTCTCACATGTAATCTGATATTGCGCAAACTTTACGGCGCACCGAGGTTCTGCTGTGGTCAGCGAGGCGTCGAAGAGGAATGCATTGGGCGATAGATTGGCCGAAATCGTGGGGAAATCCATCTTGAATACCCCGCATTCTGTCCACGCGGTACCAAGTAATCACCCATGAATGGCAGCATCTCCGTCAACAGAATACGAGCCAACGACTTCCGGCTGGTCTCCCGACAGATCGAAGACGACGATTCAGTCGATACACCATGTACCGGGAAAATGCATCCGTCTGCGTCTCGGCAGTTTACATCACCCTTGGCATTGAGATCCTAAACCAGGCGCCTTTGCAGTACGCATTTGGCGGATGTTGTATTTGAGTCAAATCGATTGCCGTTGAAGATGCCGAAAGGAAAGACCAGACGGGCGATGTTTGCAAAGACTCGCGTCGTTACAAAACTAATAATTACCTAGACATGATCTGTGTCGTGCGACTCGTCCGCTAAATGCGCCGACACCTCATGATCCACCATCTAGTGGATAGGCGCCGGGAGTCAGCTACCAAGAGCCCAAGCCTATTCAGGCTCTTTCCCCTGGCCGAGTTTTTCAATTATGTTTTCTGATAGGTCGAAATTGATTACCTCTACACACCACATCATTCTTACAAGGCTGTCAGAGCTCACTTCCACCATAAGGAGTGCGATCTGCGACCCAAAAATCCGGCAAGATGTTATTGGAGCATGGGTATATCTGCAGCCACGGAGTACATCGAGCTCGTGTTTATTCTTCCCGATTAATTCATCGACCGGACGTAGTCGACGTGGGTACCGTCCGAGGTTCGTTGCGAGAAAAGCTGTTCCTGGCTTGTGACATCTGTTCTACCGAGATGGTTAAGTATCGCGTGTTGGATAGTGTTAGTAGAAGCAGTCTTCAAGAGCGAAATCTTCGTTTGGTTCGAACAACAGGAGTCAAACACATACTCACCTCAACATGAAGCTCACAATACTCCTACCATTGATTCCTTTGGCTCTTGCAGTCCCAGCACCTTTGGAAAGGCGTGCAAATCCCACCGTTATTGCTCCTTCACCTCAAGCTACGGTTGCTGGCACCAGCATCGCGAACGTTGAATCTTTTAAAGGCATACCATATGCACAGCCTCCGATTGATCAGCTGCGACTGAAACCACCTCAGCCATTGACTTCCTCCCTAGGAAAAGTCGATGGCACTGGCATTCCGAAAGCATGCCCACAATTCTTCTTCAGCATAGACGAGAGAAACATTCCAACCAACATTCTGGGAACCATATTGAATCTGCCACTCCTTCAAACCGTTACCAATGCCGGAGAAGACTGCCTCACTGTCAATGTTCAGCGGCCAGCTGGTACAAAGGCTGACGCCAAACTTCCCGTACTATTCTGGATATTCGGTGGTGGTTTCGAACTTGGATCTACTGCAATGTACGACGGAGCCAGTCTTGTAGCCGAGTCGGTTGCTCAAGGCAAGCCCATCGTCTTTGTTGCGGTAAACTACCGCGTGGGCGGGTTTGGCTTCATGCCCGGGAAAGAGGTGTTGGAAGACGGTTCAGCCAACCTGGGGCTTCTCGACCAAAGGCTGGGCCTACAGTGGGTCGCAGACAACATAGCTGCATTTGGAGGTGATCCCGAGAAGGTGACAATCTGGGGTGAGAGTGCAGGTGCTATTTCTGTACTAGACCAGATGATGCTGTACGACGGCGACAACAGCTACAAGGGGAAGCCCCTCTTCAGAGCTGGTATCATGAACTCGGGCTCGATAGTGCCAGCCGATCCCGTGGACTGCCCCAAGGGTCAGGCTATCTACGATAGAGTGAGTTCTTATTCTTATTGGAGAAAACGGAGGACCATTGCTAACCACCATAGGTTGTCGAAGCAGCTGGATGCGCTGGCTCAGCCAATACTTTGGCATGCCTCCGTACAGTTCCATACACGAAATTCCTCAATGCCGCAAATACTGTTCCTGGTATCTTGAGCTACTTTACAGTCAATCTTTCCTACCTACCACGACCAGATGGAAAAGCCCTAACAGCATCCCCCGATGCCCTTGTCAAGGCTGGAAAGTACGCCAAGGTGCCCTTCATTGTTGGCGACCAAGAGGATGAAGGTACCCTTTTTGGCCTTTTCACTTCGAATCTTACCACCACCAGTGAGATCACGACGTATCTCTCAACCATCTTCTTCAACAATGCTTCGCCAGCGCAAGTCCAACAATTGGTTGGCAGTTACCAAACTATCACGGAGGACGGATCACCTTTCCGAACTGGCCTCCTCAACAACTACTACCCGCAGTTCAAGCGCATTTCCGCTATCCTCGGCGACGTGACATTCACTCTTACACGTCGCGTTTTTCTAGAAGTCGCTGCGCAAGTCAGCCCTAGTGTGCCGTCATGGTCCTACCTTGCGACGTACAATTATGGCACGCCTATCCTAGGGACATTCCATGGCTCGGATATCCTTCAAGTCTTCAATGGTATCTTGCCAAACAACGCCGCCAAGTCTATCAGGGGTTACTATTACTCCTTCATCTACAACTTGGATCCCAATGAGGGAAGTGGACTGATGAACTGGCCAAGGTGGAGTGAAAGCAAGAAGTTGGTGAAATTTGGTGCGAACAGCAACAGCTACCTGGACGATGACTTTAGGAGTGATACATATAATTTCTTGAAGGATAACGTAGCGAGCTTGAGGGTTTGATCTAGAAGGTTTGATATTCTAGCGATACCAACACTTGAAAGTTGGTCATGACGGCAAACGAAGTACATGAAATGAATCATTATCTCATATATTATTAGTTTTTACCAGTGTTGCTCTAGTATCCACCGCCGAGTGTTGGTTGCAGGCCATACGGCCCGCTCACATGGTCCACATTCTTCATGGACAGCGAATCGCCTAGTGCCTTCTCGAGCCTCTCACCAATCTCTTTGTCGACCTTGGCAAACATTTCTACTTGTCGTTAGCTTATGACTTCTCGAGGTGGTGTCTCACAAAGCAACTTACTGATCGATTCCTTCTGCACCTGCGGCAACGCCTTCTTCATGTGTCCGCTCAAGTTGTCGATGAAGATCTGGTCATCGCCCCACTTCTTGTACAACGCCCACAGATTACGCGGCTGCTCGAAATCCTCATCTGTGACCTCGGATGTGTATGAGCTCACTTCACCAACCCACTTGTCGTGCGCAATATCTGGTGGGCCGGACTGAATCTTACGGAACGAGGAGCGGACGTAGTCGGGGTCGGCACCATAGTTTCCATCCATCCTCATAGGACCGTCACGTTGGTAGGGGCTGTAAACGTTTTTGGCCCTGTTGCATGGCAGTTGTTGGTAATTTGGACCAACACGGTAACGGGCCGCGTCTGGGTAGCTGAACATTCTTGCTTGAAGCATGATGTCTGCTGATGGACCAATGCCAGGTACTAATGTGCTTGGCGAAAAGGCCGCTTGCTCAACATCTTGGTGGTAGTTCGCGGGATTCTTGTTTAGCGTGAGTTTGCCGACTGGAATGGGCGGGTAGTCCGCGTGCGGCCAGATCCTAGTAGCATCGAAAATATTCCAGCGGTAGTTTTCCGCCTCTTTGGGATCCATAACCTGGAGCATCATGGTCCAAGTGGGAAAGTCACCATTCTCGATCGCGTTGAACATGTCCTTAACATGGTAATCTGGCTCTTCGCCTGCAAGTCGCGCTGCATCTGCAGACTTCATAGTAACGTTGCCAGCATCAGGCTTGAAGTGGATCTTTACGTATTTGAAAGATCCGTCTTCAGGTTTGCCGAATTTGAAAGTATGAACACCGTAGCCGGTGATGTTTCGCAGAGATTCCGGCACGCCTCGGTTGCCAAATAATTGCATGAGCGCATGCATTCCTTCCTAGACGTCGTTAGATTGAGTTAAGTAGATGACATGACGTATCAAAGGTGTGACTCTGATGTGATGAGTGAACCTACCTGGTTATTGTTGTGGAAGTCCCAAAACATAGTAGAGTCCGGGACATGTGTCTGCGGGTGTGCTTGATGGGAGCGATTTAGAGATGGGAATTTCACGGGATCGCGAATGAAGAAGACGGGTAGGTCATTTCCAACCATATCCCAGTTTCCCTCGTCGGTGAAGAACTTCAGTGCCCATCCTCGGATGTCGCGGACGGTGTCTGAAGATCCCTTCGATCCAGCGACGGTAGAGATACGAGCTAGGACTTTAGTCTTCTTTCCGATCTTGTTCAGGAAGTTGGCGGATGTGATGTGCGAAATGTCGTGAGTGACTTCAAACTCTCCCCATGCTCCTGCAGCCTTTGCATGTACAACTCTGCAAAGCGTCAACGTATGAAGCATGTATTAGATCGTGCGTTATCAACATACCTCTCTGGTATCCTTTCGCGGGGAAAGTGCGCAAGCGTCTCAATGAGCTGAGTGTCTGAGAGTAGAGCGAGACCACCACCTCTGAGCGGCGAGCCTCGAAGTACCGTCTGGGCTGTTGGATCTTGAACAGGACGTCCTACATGCTTGTGAGCGACTGACTCAAGAATCACATACGAGGGCTTTACCTTCAGCCAGAGTATATACTGGCGCATCGGTGTTTTGCTGCAATAGGTCCGTTAGCTACGATGTAACCAACATAAAGGTGCACACATACGGAAGCCATTTCTGTATACACAAAAGTGCTGTCTATGATTGTCTGTGATAGAGCTTTCCTGCTGGAGAATGGGCGCCATTTTTATGCAAATATTCCAGGTTTGTAATTGTCGGGATGAAGTCATTCTCAACGGGTACTCGTAGATCTAAGGCAATTCTTTGGTGCGTCATTCATCTGTAAGATACAGGTCCATTACCTATCCCACTACTCGTTGTGGGACTGTCCCCCTGTCAATATTTGCGGTGCCCTCTTTGCCATCGGCGCATTGGAGGAAATTTTCTCAGACACCCAGAGCTTAGGTAGCCAGAGATAGCGCAGATCCGCGGATTGCGGTCTTCTGGAGCATGCTTGCTGCTGATGACTATAGATGACTATAGATGACTATGCTACGCGACGCGGCATGCGCGTTGGAAGTCGCTCAAACGCGGCTGACTGGGGAATGACGATTGTGCTCCGAATGATTGGCCGAGTCGAATCGGACTTATCATGGAGATGGCACGGATTTGTGGTGGAGCTAGATTACCTAGGTACAGTCCCGCGCACGCCCCTAAGGTGGGGTCGGCTTCTTTGCTCTGTAAGCAGAACATCGCGAGGAATCACGCAACCAATTGTAGAACAAAAGAGTTAACTCGAAGCGAACAAAACTCCGCCCACAGGCTCATCCGAGTTTTATGATCAGGCTTAAAAGAGGGTTGAAAGGGCAAAAACGCTACGACACCTACACGCGCCGGTGCGCACCAAGCACCCTATCCCGCACACGCCAGAATCATCCTGCAAGATATCCAGACTGGCTATGAGCCTTCCAGCCATCACAGTTGCTCTTCAACGCATCATGGTTGGTCAACCCTGCAATCTTGTTATACTGCCCCACGAACTGCATCGCAAATCCCTCGGATATGTGCCAGCCTGTGTAGATGTTAGTACAGCGATTTGATTGCAAATGAAGAGGAAAAATACCAATGTGACATTGCATAAGTCATGACGAGGTAGCCCGAAGCTGGCAGCATGGCGGTGTCGCGATGCGGCGGGTTGTCAAGCTTCAGAGGAACATTATCGGTGTAATCTCCTATACCCCGTGCAATGACGAAGAAATCGTGTCCGTGAAAACGAATGGGGTGAGGTACTCCGATAGTGATCCTAATGACCTCACGTCTAACAGGAAAGCTATAGACAGAAGGGATTACATGTCAGCAGATTCGACAGGTTCTAGAGCATAAGAAAATATGTTGTTGCTACAATTCAGTTTCTTATCAAGTGATACATATGACTCAATGTTCACAGAAGTTGTAACTTGGCCTCTGCCATCCTTTTCCTGAGGTCTGGACGAATGCGCTCCTTTCTCGCATCAGCTTCTTACGATGTCCACTCGCTTCTTCAGAACTCATGGGAAGCGAGTGCTTGCCATCATCGAAATCTTTGCGCACGAAGTCCATAAGCTCCTCAGGAAGTTGAGCTTCTCTAGCTGCAGAGACACTAGCAAATCCTTTCTCCGCGAACAGGTTTATGAGTTCTGGGGGTAGCTTTGACAATGCTTCTTCACGTGCCCTGTTGTTCGATCCAAGGAGCGAATCGACGTACCAGTTCATCTGTTGAGGTGGGATGTTTGCTGTCGAGATGATACGTTTTGTGGGATCGACAAGCCATAGTGCGATGAAGCGACGATGACCGGGCTTCGTGGGATCGATGAGCTTGAAAGGTGAAACGCGGTGTTGGCTGTTGCAAGCATTAGTCAACGCCCACATTCGAGCATGATCAGAATCAACTTACAAGACATTAGGAAAGGCCAACAGCCTTCCTTGACGGGTCTGGACGTTTCCATAATTCTGCAAACATGGCGAGCCGCCGCCACCCAAGTTGGTGCCATACACCGCCTCCATCCAATGATAGGCGCCTTGTCCAACGGGGTAGTCATCGTCATCGTTTATGTGATATGAAGTCTGCATACGGAACGAAAGGCTGTTGTCGGTGATGTTCTCGCTGTCCAAGTAGTAGAGAGCTGTGGCGCAGATGTTCTCGTTCATTTGCCCCTCGATATGCCACCCGCCTACGGGAAATTCAGGCTTCTCGGGCGTGAGCTCGATCGACGCCATCTTGACAATGATCTGGAGTCCCGAATCGCGATATCTGTCAGCAAGACGCTTACCTAATGGTGGGATGTAGGATACATCATTGAAGGGAACTGGATGCAAGCGAGGTTTGCGGACAGCCTGCCACTTGGCTTCCAACATAGCTTCTGCACGCTCCTCCTCAGTTTCATAATATTCAGGGTCGTAGTCATGATCTCTCAACTGTTCTTCGCTGACCTCTGCATCAGCACACGCTTCCTTATGATCAGGAATCCAGTTCTCCTCATTTTCATCGCTATCAAAGCGGTATGTTAGCAGCTGCAAAAGTGTCAAGTATTTGACGAACTTACTCAGGATTATCGGGTTTACCTGTACGGGTATCCATACGGCCGGCGCCCTCAAATTTTTGATAGCCGACTGCCAGTCTCAAGCACTGATCCCACAGAGGTAGCGATGTTTCGACCAGCTTCTCGATGGTACGGTATATTTCGGAACATTTCTTAGGGTGCAGATTGTTGATGTAGCTGGTGAATTTAACAGTGCCATCATTCTGGAAAGCGACGTTAGCTGGCAGCCATTGATACGTATTCGACCAATACTCGAGCGGAATGCTATTGTAGCGGTCGCTGTCTGAATGTTCAACAGGGGGTTCTTGTGGAATGATCTCGCCCTTGCCAGCCCAGCACTCGATGGCGTCCGCCACACCGACGTGCTCTTCTTTAAAGCCACAACTTCGGCCGTACACTAATGGATACATGGATGGATGTACTAGATCCTGCACCATATCATCCGAATTTGGATGCCAGTCAGGAGAAGCAGCGTGGTCCGACTTCAGCTCGTCAAAAGCCTTGCGCAGACTTGCATGTAGCTCGCTCGTCACAAGCGTGTCAGATTTTGCCACAGAGGGGCCTGCATCCAGAGATGGAATAATGCCCGACTGCTCGAAATACTTGGCTTTGCTACGAAGCTCTTGAACACACTGCTAAAGATGAGTAATGAGATCGAGACTTGGGCAAGAAGTAACGTACAGTGTTAAATGTATCCTCGTCTAGAATATTCTCCAACTCGCGATCGCACCAATCGTTGTGAAGCTCGAGTCGATTATCGTCATGGGTCCAATGCTGTCTCTTCGCACCAATAGCCAGTTGCCAAAAGTGATCATCGGGAATGGAGAGGGCCTCGTTACGCCACTTAGCGATGATAGCGTCGTCGAACACCTTCTTGTGCCAATCGACTTTGTCGGTAAGCTTCTCCATAATGTCCATCATAGCGAGCTCTCGAACGGTGATGATATCCGAGTCGCTTCCATAGCAGTTGCTATGGGAGCCAATGGGATAAAAGCCGTAGTTTTGCCATTCCCAATTACGAAGAGGAAGTCCAAGCCCGGGATACTCATTCTTCGGTTTGCTAGAAGTCTCAGCCATTGTTGTCATTGAGCGAGTAAGAGTCGTAATGTTCAGGCTTGTTCGAAGTGTGTAAAACAAGAGTTGGAACACCGGAGCCCTTTAAACAAAACAGAATTGACTACTATGTTCTGGAACTGCAAGAGTCGTTGATGCGCTAGCTCAGGCAGCATGAAGCTGCCTGGGATGGTGAAGCAGGAAAGGGATATTTTCCAGGTTGAGCGGTTGGAGGCCTAGCCTTTGCCTATCCCGGATGCGCCACATAAGTGCACAGAACTAGGTGCGAGAGGATCCACATGTCGAATCATCAGGGTGTCGGGAGTATGACATTTGCATGAATTCGCTGGCAGCATTGAGAACACTTGGCCTAGCTTGTGAGGTGGGAGATGAGATGGAAATCGGTGTTGAACGCGGAGTGTTGAACGCGCTGCGCGTTGGAACGCGTTTCCGGATAAACTGGCCCCACATTTGCCTGAGGTCGCGTCACCACAATACGCTTACTAGAGTCCTTTGTAGAAACACTGCGATTTAAGCTAGAATCTTTAGTGTCTCTGCCTCAGCCTCATAAAACAGCATCCAGATTGCTTGACATTCTTTCGCCTGCTATGATCATCGGGAGTTATGCACCAAGGAAGTTGAAGATCGTCCACAAGTGGATGGAGTACGGATAGCCTGAATGACAGCGGTGCATGCACAGACCACACTACTTGTAACAGTTCGATAGCTACAGTAGAATCAACCCAGATAAGAACACATCGAGAACCAACTTCCTATGTGGTCCTCAATCGTGCTTCGTGTATAACTTGACATACTTCACATGCTCGTTGCCTTGCGCATCTTCGTAGCGTTCACTGACGATCTTGTATCCACCAAGTTTCGGCCAGATTTTCGTCCAGCATACCCAGTAGAATCCACCCAGAAGCAGGACGCTAACACCAACAATCGGAAACACGTAGTATGGGTAGCCATCTGCGTTCCAGTCGCCATCCGGAGGAATAAAGGGGACAAGCGCGAGGAAAATGTTTACAGCCAAGTAAAGAACGGCAACGGGAAGATAGGTATGCCATGGCGACTCCCAGCGCTCACGTTTGCTGTAGTGTAAGTAGATCAGACCGGCGGTAACGAAACCGTTGATCCATGCGCCGGGATAGGTATACAAATCGGTGATGAAGTTGTACGCAGGACCAGCAGGAGGTGCAACAAGCACGATGACTGTAATTAGCCAGTGGAGAAACAACGCCGTTGCAGGCGCGTTGAATGGCTTGTTTGATGCCCTGTAGAAGTAAAGGGGCGAAGTCAGTGTATGTTTCATGTGCATCTCGCAATCAAAACTTACCAGAATCGGCTCCATGGTAGCAGGCCCTCCTTCGCGAATTCTTGGTTAAGCCGCGAGTGGGCAAAACTAACTGCGAGCACATTGCCCAAGTTGCTAAGAGCTACAAAAGCCGGGAGACTTCGCGCCCCAGCGCTGTTGCCGAAGACATTGCGGAAGAAGAGACCAGCCACGATGACCTCACTCTTTGCAAGGTCGGATTTGGGAATCGCAGCAAAGTAAGCTACATTCGCGAGGACATACAGGATGGTAGTTCCGCCAATTGCTAGCGGTGCTGACCAAGCCAGGGTTTTCTTCGGGTTTCGTATTTCGCCCAACACATAGTTGGCGTTTTCCCAACCTTTGTACGAGTAGACGATACGAAGCAGAGCTTGACAGTATTCGTAGGAGCCACCGCCACCGTAGCCATCACCAACTTCTAGTCTGAATGCATTGTCGAAATTGTGCGGTTGCTCTATCTTCAGATGGCCGGCCAGGGCAGCGAAGCCCGAAAAGACGATGAAGAGGAGAATGAAGACCTTGAAGACGCCGAGGACGCTGAAGAGACGGATGCCCCATTTTGGAAATGTCGCATGGAGACCGACAGAAAAGGTCACGCAAGCAATTGCTATGCCACGCGCCGCCCAACCATCGGGTGCTTCCGAGCCAGAAGCGAATAGTACGTAGCGTCCGAACGCCAAGGAGTTACCGGACGAGAAGCCGAGCAAAAGCATTTGCGATGCAAGAACGCATGTTGCGAGATACTTGGGATGACGATAGACGCGCTCCAGATAGTTCTTTTCGCCACCTGAACGTGGGATCGCAAGTCCAAATTCCAAAAAAACACCTGCCACAGCATTAACGCGACTTGTTCAGTTACAAACCGAGATCCGACCTACTGAGCCCACAAAACGTGAGAACACCGCCAATAATCCAAAGAAAGAGTGATACGCCGACAGAGCCCGTCACAGCGAAGATACCGGAAGGAGTAGAGAAGACTGTACACTGTTAAGCAGTTACTCGAGCGAATATGCGTGGTGGATACGTACTGCCGGTACCGATCATCTTATTCAGGATCACGAAAACCGTGGCTGTGTAGCCTAGCTTCTGAGAGTCATCGTACACATAAGCATTGTCTTCCTGTACACTACCATCTTCGTAAACGGGCGGTGGGGGTGAGGTCTCGTCGTTTGTGTACCGCGCAACCTTTGCGTCGTCGTCAGGAATCGCGGCCATGCTTAGCCTTTGCTAAGAGCCCCCTTAGCTCGCGTCAGTTTGGTGATCGAAGTACCGCCGATGGCCTCTAGACAGAAGTTGTGCGAGCGACTGACAACCACTGGATAGCCGGGGTCTTGTAGGGTCATATAGCCTTCTGTAATGGCGCGATAACATCGTTGTAGCATGCCACGCGAAATTAATTGCGAATACACTCCTACCATGTCGCGATCAGCAGGCGCTGTAACATAACGAGGCTTGAGTTGCTTGTGGTGTTCAGAGCTGACCAGTTCCAAGAACCCTGAACAGGAAGGTGAAGCAAATGGTTGGTTCGATTGTCTTGGTAGATCCTCTCAACGATGCGCATAAAGGTCAAGGGCGATGTCGTGATCGCTGGGCATTATTAGCCTAACACCAAAGCACTTGGCGCGTACTTCTGCTTCCAACTCGGCTCATATTCGCGATAGCTGTGGTTTTTCAGGAACGCCAGGGGAATCCCATGAAGTGCACATGGCAAAGATGACGCCCCGTATAGTGAGGCTAGATCTCATGGAGGCTTCCGAAGCGCAGAATCAACGGCTGCTGGCAATCACGATGTCGCTAGCTTCTAGATCGAAAAAAAGTAGTGCACAAATTGTGGCGATAAGTTCTAGATGCTCAGTTGTCGAGAAAGATGATGGTTGACGATGCAGTTGTGGGCGGAGAGCTGTCGGCGGGCCTTCGCGTTCGCGTCTCCAGTGACCCATATTTTCCTTTCTAGCGCCAAATTCAGGTAGCACTAGAAACTCACTTCTCTTCAACACCACGAGCTGGCTCATGTCTGACATAGTATGAGCTAAATTTTAAGTTCACAGTATTGAACCAAAGTTCCGACCTTCATTAGTCTTCGTCACCGTTTGCGTTGCGACATTGATATCGTCAAGAGCTTCCGTTAATAAGAAGCCAGCCTTGGCGAAGGAATGACTCTCGCGTCATTACACTTGCAGCACAGCTATGCATCAACACTCGATTTACATACACTCCATGCACACATTTTCCTGAGGTAGACATGATAACTCTACCGTATGCTGCGTTGTGTTCATGGTAAGGACGCGTCATCGAGTCATCCGAGAATAAGCTTCAGCAAGACCTGCACCGAAGCTTGACCGACGCCACGAAAGCCTCATGGACGGCATGGATCATATAAACACAACGGCTTCCGAATCTCAATGCTGTGTCTTCATTTCTTCTCCATAACTCGGCCTGTCGGCTGTTTTGATGACATGAGATCATTTCCGAGGCTCGTTAGTGTTCGGGCTAATTGGTGGATAATGTTCCTCCTCTTCCCCACGTTCTCCGGATTTCTCCATGTGGATACTCCCCGCGTTCGCTGTACTGAAAGGTAACGCTGATTGGAGGCATCGAACGGATAATTGATACTAGAGGCGTACTTGCGGCTGATAATGGTGCTAAATGGCACACCGGCAACCAGGTATGCTGCATCACGGGTATCTTGAGACCTAACCCTGGACATACAGGATACACTGGGCTGATATAAAGAGCCGGCCAAGCTTCCTCACTCGCCGACACGAGGATAAGCTTTCTTCACAATTCCGGTCATCTCGAGACGTCTCGGTTCATCATCATGCACTGGGCTACTCTTCTCCTTGGCCTATTCGAGGCATGCGCTGCCATATCTACGATAAACCGGAAGGCATGCCAGTACCCGACCAAGAAGCCACTAGACGGTTGCCCTAAGAACACAATTCTCGTGGGCCCTGGGCGGAACTTCTCTACCATTCAGTCCGCAGTGCTGAGCTTGCCAAACGATACGACACCACATCACATCCTGATCCTTCCTGGAAACTATACCGAGCAAGTAAACGTCACACGGCCTGGCCCCGTTTATCTGTTTGGTCAGACAAAAGCCCCAAACGATCAAAGCCAGAACACTGTAAACGTTATATGGCGTAACGCTACCGGAGCAGGCCTATCTACGCTAGATAACGCATACACTTCTGTCCTCACGGTCGCGCCAACTTTCAACGCAAGTACGACCGGCTCAGGGCCGACTGGCAATCCCGTACCAGCAGACACGCCATTCGGCAACTCCGATTTCCGCGCGTACAACATAGATTTCAGCAATTTGTACGCGCCTTACTCGGCCGGCCCGGCACTGGCAGTCTCAGTAAGCTACGCAAACACAGGCTTCTACTACTGCGGATTCTACTCGTACCAAGATACCGTCTACGTTGGAAAACTAGGAAATGCATACTTCTACAAGAATGAAATCGCCGGACAAACAGACTTCTTCTATGGTTTCGGCACAGCATGGATCCAATCTAGTCTCGTCTCCCTTCGCAGTTGCGGCGGCGGCATCACAGCATGGAAGGGTACAAATACAACTTTTGTCAACAAATACGGCGTCTATATCCACGACTCTGACGTCAAGAAAGCCAACTCATCCCTCTCCACAACCGGAAAATGCGCGCTCGGCCGCCCTTGGAACTCCCAACACCGCTCCATCTTCGCAAACTGCTATCTTGATGATTCTATCCAGCCGAATGGATACATTGAGTGGGGTACCACAGATAAGAGAGTGAACTTCAATACCACGATGGCGGAGTACAAGGACTACGGACCTGGGTGGAATGAAACTGCTCGGCTAGCGAGCAATGTCAGTATTGTTATGGACCGGAAGCAATATGAGCCGTACTCTACTCTGGAGAAGGTGTTCCAGTACCCGTTTTCAGGAAAATTTGGGAACACAGCGTGGATTGATAGGAATCCTGAGAAATAATTTATGGGTTAAGATAACAAGAATTATAAATCTCTAGCACTGCGACTCTCGCCGACTACCCTGGAATGTGGAGAACATATTTCAAAGCTTGGGCGATGATGTCTATTAGATTGCATTCATTACTACACGGCTCTTAAGAAAACTCTAACTTCCTCTGTATTGTAAAGGGTTTGGAGTGTCTTCCATCCGAAGGTTTGCTCCGGCCCATCTAGAGATTGGAGAGGTTCATCGCGCTCAGCGAGAACGAGCTGTAACTTTCTCTCCGCATCCTTGTCTCTTTGGAAACTTCCTTCTCTTTGTATAAATATGTTACCAGATTGTAAGAGACTCCGAAATCCTCTGCTAACAACGATCCTTTCTTGGTATTGTGAATCCCCCCACGCACTCACACCACTACTATACCATAAAATCGGCTGATTATGGGGAAACGGAGAAGAAAAGGAGATCCCCATACTTCTGGGAAGAAGAAGAAGGTCGCCCGCTACCATTGCCTTACATGTGGTGAAACCAAACATGAGCGTCACTTTGCTGACTTCAACCCTTCTGCTGAATGCGAGCATCTTATAAACACCTGTAAATCATGTCTTGAGAGATATGTAGACACACAGATCGAGGACACGAACGTAAGAATAGGTGGAGACCACAACAAGACATTTGGCATCCGCTGTCCAGAATGTCCTGCTATCATGAAAGTTGACGACATCGAGACTGCTGCTTCCGAGGACATGTTTGCGCGTTTCAAGAAACTTGAGCGTATTCATATCGGCAACAACACACCAGGATGGCGTTGGTGTCAGTCTTCGTCTTGTGATGAGGGACAAGTGCATGAGGAGACGCCAGATGAAGATGAAAGCAAAACAGCCAAAGAAGAACCAAATACAACGAACATTTGTAAATGTCGCAATTGCGGAGCACTGTCTTGCGTACCCTGCGATCGACCGTATCATCGAGGAGAATCGTGCAAAGCATATCAACTGCGCATCAAAGGTCACATTGATGAGGAAGATGAAGCGCTGAGGGTCATCGGTAATATTACTCAACCCTGCCCTGAGTGCGGTGTACGAATACTCAAGGACGGCGGCTGTGATGATATGGAGTGTAAGTAGCCGTGTTCAGCCAGGGTTGAGCATTCACTAGCTAACCCAACTAGGTACCAAATGTCGTGCAGAATTTCTTTGGAAGAATAACGAAGGATAAGCCTCTCTAGATACGAATATACTCTCAAAGTTTATGCCGTCTTCGCAGCATTATCATACTCCTTCCAAATCAACCCCTCAGGTAGCACTTTCCACTGCTCATCCTCACCCAATAAGCTTCCCATCTTATCCCATTCTTCTCTCAAAACTCTTGCCTTGTCTTCATCCCTCGGAACAATGTTCGCCTTGAACGGTTTTGGCTGTACCAACATGCCCTCTGTCAGGTCATCTGCATCTGGTAACTCCACCTCGCCATGCTCGCCCTTACCCGGCTCAAACTCAAACGCCCAGAGCAGTCTCGAGATTGCCAAAAATAACGACCGCTCCGCAATATGCATACCCTGACACAACCTCCTCCCCGCCCCAAAAAGAAAATGATCCCGCTTACTCGCATCTGAATTGTTCGCCGCCTCAGCCGCAGTCTGGCTATCATTCGCATATCGCTGCGGATCGAACTTGCGGGGCTCAGCATGCCGCGTAGGGTCGTTATGTATGGCCCAAACATTCCACATTACGCCTGCGTTTTTAGGAATCGTATACCCCATGTATTCATCGTCGCGGATAACGGCGTGCGGGACACCAAGGATGGCAGTGGGCATCCAGCGCATGCTTTCTTTCACGCAGCCGCGAACATAAGGCAGATTTGGCGCGTCGTCCAGTGTCGGGAAACGATCGCCGCATACGCGGTCAAGCTCTTCGCGGGCAGCTTTTGCAACCTTTGGGAAGAGGATCATTGCTTGAATGACTTTTGGGTGTCTGAGTCAGTGTAGGCTCTAGAATGTATGGAGGTTTGGTACAGTTTACTTACAGCCGATGAGCGTTGCAGCAGTGGTGTCCGATCCTGCCTCCAGCAACGAACCACTCACGTAAGCAGCAAGGGCATCTGAGAAGTTCTCTTCGTCTTGTGCTCGCACTAAATCGAGACAAAAGCATGGTTTTGATGTTCCATTCTTGATGGCTTTCTTCACATTGAGCCAGTGGCCAATGTATAGCTCGCACTCCTTCTCGTGAAGGTTTCTTGCGTATTTTCGCAAAGGAAGCGCCCA